ATTTATATATAGGTCAAACACAGCTTACGTTCCCAGGCCGTTGCTCGTAAACGACTTCACTTTCACTTCCATTCGGGCATTATTCAAGTCACGCTCTTTTCAGCAGCCTTTCGAGATCAATAAATATATGAACAACCGAACGGATCGTTTATCACGTCGAATATCGAGTCGCAAGGCTTTAATTATAATTTGTTCTGCACACTTGTCGGCGAGACAGCTCGACAGATTGTAATTAACTCCCGCTTGCTTATCATTCTATTGAAATAATGTTTCGCACAGCTAGCGCAGCCTCAAGAACATGCTGGTCTGACAGGCAAGGCAAATACCGGGTATTCAGATTCAATTCAAATTCTTATCAAGTGTTTGATTTATCGCGCTGGACTAATGGGAAAACCGTGGAAAAACAGAAACGTAACCTAGGCCAAGTTTTTGTTTAGATAATAGAGAGAGGGCTAGTTCGCAAACAGAAATGAGTGGGCCTACAGAACTTTTCTATTTACAAAGGTGATACAAGAACAAGAGCGAGTAGAATATGCTAAGTTTTGCAGGAACTCGGTTCCTTAAATTCCTTGGACTTATGATGCTTGAGGACTTGTGTTCAAAAGTCCTTAATTCCCTAGGTCATAAGGTGATTGTAGCCCAAAGTTGTAAAAGGTTGCTCTTAAGTCATTTAGTATCCATTGACTAAGCTTATAAAGTTATGAGAATAAAAAAAATTGCTTAATTCTTATGGTCTTAGGGTTCTTAAGCTATTAAGTCATTAAATCTTCAGATGTTGAAGTCCTCAGCTCCTTACATCAAATTATACTTATACTCCAAACACTCCAAAGTCTTTATGTCCTTGAATACCTACCCCAGGGCTCACAGCTGCTAGCTTTAGCTTTACATTGGATCTTAGCTGCTAAGCTCAAATATGCTCAGATTTTTGGAGCATGTGATCCTTGGGTTTCCATGTCTCCAAGTTGCTTAGATCCTTCTTAAGACTCACATATGGATTCTATACTCGATCTATCAAATTGCCAAAAATGAGAAATCACCAACTTAATGAATGTGTTGTCTACTCTGCTCTATCCACAGATAAAACAGCCACAGGATGATACCAATTTTGAATAAGCTGAGCGGCTTCTACAGCAGCTATGTCCTAGGCATACTCACTATCGGCTACATCCTAGGCGAGCTGGGTCACTATCTGATCGGCGTCACGTCCAAGCAGACGGCTATTGAGCTGGACTATGGAGATCATGCCTGCCAGCAGAATAACAGTATGTTCACCAGGCACGAACTGATGACCCAGTGCTCGGATGTTAAGAACGAGAGCAGTTGCTATTCGCTGGATATGAACGGAACGGGCTACTGCGAGTGGAACTACAATGGACTGGGCATCGATTATCAGATTCTGGCCGGGCCCACCTTCATATTGGTCTTCACCATTGCCGGCGTGTTCATGGGCTTTGCGGCTGATAAATACAATCGAGTAAAAATGCTGACAGTTTGCACTGTGATCTTTGGCGTTGCGATTCTGCTGCAGGGCACCGTCAAGGAGTATTGGCACTTGGTGCTGCTTCGCATGGTAATGGCGGCGGGTGAGTCCGGGTGTAATCCTCTGGCCACAGGCATCATGTCCGACATCTTTCCGGAGAACAAACGTGCCTTGGTCATGGCCATCTTCAATTGGGGCATCTATGGCGGCTACGGCATTGCCTTCCCCGTCGGTCGCTACATCACCAAGCTGAACTTCTTCGATATGGGCTGGCGTATGTGCTACTTGGGTGCCGGAGTGCTAACGATTATTGTCGCCGGACTCACGGGCACTACCCTGCGGGAACCGGAACGCAAATCGATTGGCGAGGGCGATCGAACCACAGCGAGCGGCAAACCCGTTTCCCTCTGGCAGGTCATCAAGAGTCCCGCCATGATTATGCTGATGATAGCCGCCTCCATACGTCACAGTGGTGGCATGACCTTTGCCTACAATGCCGATCTGTACTACAACACCTACTTCCCCGACGTGGATCTCGGCTGGTGGCTCTTCGCTGTCACCATTGGCATTGGCAGCGTGGGCGTTGTCGTCGGTGGCGTCGTCTCCGATAAGATAGTCGCCAAAATGGGCATACGTTCGCGAGCCTTTGTCCTGGCCATCAGCCAGTTGATAGCCACGCTGCCCGCCTTCGGCTCGGTCTACTTCGAGCCTCTGTGGGCGATGATTACACTCGGCCTGAGCTACTTCTTTGCCGAAATGTGGTTCGGCATCGTGTTCGCAATTGTCGTTGAGATTGTCCCGTTGCGCGTGCGCTCCTCAACAATCGGCGTCTTCCTCTTCGTCATGAACAACATTGGCGGCAATTTGCCCATTCTGGTGGATCCAGTGGCCAAGGTCATCGGATACCGCGGCTCCATCATGATCTTCTATGCGGGCTTCTATGGCATCAGTAAGTATTTGTTCATTGCTCGACTTGACTTCCTAAGCTAAATATGTATACTAATCTCAAATTAGTAGGAAATTTTATACAATAAAGTAAACAAGAAAATAGTTAGATAAGAACTGACATCATCATGTAACGCAAGTGCTACGTCAGCTGTTAGGCATGTTGGCCCGACACACTTGATATAAATACTGCACAGTCTATTAATGCCCAACTGATTTATATGGTGTTCCTTATTCCAATCCCATTAGGCTCTATACTTTTCCTGATCACCTGTTTCCTGCTGGATGGCAAAGCGAAGCCCAGTTCCAACGAGCAGGAATCACAGAAGACGCACCCGGATACCATCCTGAACGCACGTCATATGCACGGCCATGACAACTCCGTGTTCAGCGTGGATGAGACCCTGCCCTCGAATGGCCGCCCTGCCCAGCTGCCGCAGCATCTGCAATTGTCCAATGGCAATGGCTACGAGAAGTCACAATCGATTCAGCCAAGTCACAATGGCGCCGAGAGCAGCAGACTGTAGTATTATGGAGATCTTACCTCCGCCTCCGCCTCCGACGTAACATCAGATCGCGAAAAAGAGATAAATCTATTTGTGAAAGTGCTTCTAATATTTTTTTTTATTATTATTATGATTACTTTAATGACTCGTCTCTCATTTGTTGTCGTATTTTCTGCTCCTATTGCTGCTGCTTCTTCTTCCTCTTGCTACTCATTATTATGATTACTTTAATTATAAAAAAAAAAAATTTTTTTTTTTATGTGTGTAATACTATTGATTTTATAATTTTTGTAAAAAATTAACATAGTCTTAAGTGAGAGATACAAGGTAGTGCCTTTCTATATACATATATATATAAATAAATTATAAATAAACCTGTTTTGTTAGCTCTAAAAAGAACCCAAACTCAAAATGTATTTATGGGAGGCTTACATCTTACTGATTCTTCCTATTAGAAATGGTTATTGATGCGTTTAATTGTTGAATTATGTTGGATAGAAACTTTGTTTACCCAACTGGACGGAAGTTATATTAAAATTGAAAGAACGTGCCAATTGGCTCTATGGGTTAATGATAACCCAATGCATTCAATAGTATTTCTTCAAACATTATAAAGTTGTCGCCGATCAAATTCATTTGCTTTAATCCAATTCTCCCATTCCAAAGCTAACGAACAGAAAGGGCAGCCCGCAAAGAAAACGGCAAGTCAGCTTTTTTTTACTGACTACGAATATGTACAGTGGACCCTCGGTTAACGAATACAATTTGTTCCAGCATCTACTTTTTATTGGTCGCTATGCAAAATATTGTTCGTTAAGCGAAACGTATTTTTCCAAAATAAAAAATGTGTTCGTTGTGCGAAATGTTCGTTAACCAAGGCACCTTTGGCACCCACCAAGGGTCCACTGTACTATACTTGCCACAAACGTCACATTTTATGATGACGACAGCCCGCTGAGCTTACAGTGTAACAAAAATGTTTTCGTACAGCAGCAACTTTTTTCTTTGGGAGCGAATAAGACATATATGTATATGTAATAAGAAAGGTACCAATGTTTATTAATTTATATATTAATCTTAATTTACAAAAAGAATTAGAATTAGAACTAGTGCTTAGTCTAGTAGTTGAAACTAAAAGTTTATAAAAAGACACGTTTTTGGCTCCAATAAAGTCTTTGTAGAGTAAAACTAAATGCTTTAAATTAGTCTTAAAAACTAACAAAAATTTCATTTTTGGTACATTAAAACCGACTAAAAGAGGTTATCAAAAAAAAAGGCTACGCTAAAAATATATATAGGATAGACAGGGTAGCCTTTATTTATTATAACCTCTTTTAGTCGGTTTTGCATTAATAAGACTAATTTCTCTGTGTAATCCTTATTTAGTTTTGCCCATTCCTCTTTTAAAACTTCTATTAGCTTGGCTTTTGACGATATATGATGCTTCCTGATATGGAGAAAACGTGTCTATTTATTAAGTTTTAGTTATAACTACTAGACTAAGCAACATATAGAGCTAGATCTTAATGAAAATTAAGATTAATACATAAAATAATAAAGCTGCATCAAAACACTGGTACCTTTCTTACTACATATACGTCTTATTCGCTTCCAAAGAAAAATTCTATGTACGCATTCATTATTGGCACACTGTAGCTGCTCGCCTTAGATCCTCACACTACCATCTATTCCACACATATTATATGTGTGCGACAAGACACAAACATTTTGCGTCGCTCCACCACCGCAAATGAATCGCTTCGTTTCAAACACCGACAACGACTGAAGGCGTCGGCGATGGCGAACAGCGACAACGTTTGTTCGTGAGCTGTGACGCGTCAATTCGCCGTGGGTATAGCAAAGGAAGTAAAAAGAAAAGGTACGATGATAAGATGCGGCGAATTCGTGGCAGAATCACGGTGAATTGAACGGCATGTCACATATTTGTGTGTGTGTGTGTGTGTGTGTGTGTGTGTGTGTGTGTGTGTGTGTGTGTGTGTGTGTGTGTGTGTGAATCTATGATTTCAATATGTGAAGCTTAAGAAGGTAACCCCACAAGGCAAAGTTGCCACATAGGCATACATTTTCATACAACATTGTTATATGTTGTTATATACATACAACATTGTTATATTCTGTTATATACATTTATATTTACTGCTATTATTGCTTAAATAATTATAGTTTATAAGAAAGCGAGTTAATAACCAAAACAATAATAATGTTTCTAATCCATAAGTATTGAGCTGCAACAGCCAGTTGTGACGTCATACGATTTTGACGTTTCATCGAACATTTGCTGAGCAACCTTTTGGCTGCCTGCTGCCTGCTGTCTGCGTATTGCCTTTTGCTATATGAATTTTTTGCCAGTCGAGCTCCAACACTCGAAGTGTGTGCACCAATGTGAAGTGTTGAATGCGGCAAAAAGAGGAAAATCTATAATAACTAAAGCTAATTGACAATTGAATGTCGACACAACGACGGTGAGTAGTTAATTAGATTTAAAAAACAATAAGTTTCAAGCATATTTGACGTACATTTTGTGAATGATATAATTAAGATCCATATTTGCGTTCGGTAATGCTTTTTTTTCGTTGCTTGATTTGCTCCACCGTTTTATATGTGTGCGCGATTGCCTACGGAAATGTGCTCGTGTATTCGCGTCAGTGCGTACGTGTGGCTGTATGTCTCTGTTTGTGTGCGGGTTTGTGATTATTCTTTGAATCTGATTCTTGCTTGCGTTATTTTAGTTCTAAGTGCTGATCAGTTCATAAAATGTTGATGAAAAGGAAGACTCAGCAAATTTTAATGAAATATAATTATGAAATTATTCTTAATGATGTATTACGATATACATATGTTTAACATACTCATGAAACGACTTTTTGCAATGTCAAAATACAGTCATACTTTTTTCCTCTCTTCCCACTTATTCGGCATCTGACACTAGCCAGACGCTCTCTTTGCTCTTCTATAAGTCTGTAAAAAAAAACTAAAATATACCAAAGTTTGGTATTTTAATTTTTTGCCAGCAAAAATACAAAATACTTACATTTTTGTTTGTAGAAGAAAGTGACATCTCTTACTCTCAGCGAATGCAAAAAAAAAAAGTACAGTCACACTACGACTTGTATACCCTGATCCCATTGAAAAGGGGAAATTAGGGTACAATGGTTTTGTGAAAAGTGTGTAACAGGCAGAAGGGAGCATCGCAGACCCCATAAAGTATATATATTCTTGATCAGAGCGACGAGCTGAGTTTATCTAGCTCTGTCTCTGTCTCAGAAGACATAAGAGCTAGAGGCTTGAAATTTTGCATAAATACTCGATAACTCCTCCGATCAATTTTCATCAAAAACAATCGATAAACTAATTTCGTTTTTTCAGCGTAATTTGAATACTATTAAACCTAGGGACTTCAGATTTACTGTGTATATACATTTGATAAATACACAGATTTTGTAATTCACAGATTAAGGATACCACGCCCCCTTCGCCCCCAATTCGTAAAAAACGCTGTTTCAGTAATAGAGACTTGTGCTTTATAATATATACACTTTTAAACATTATGATCACGTTCTGAAGATCCATTACAAGAGAAATTATTCAACAAATAATGTCTCATACTATTGCCCACACCGCAGCCCAATCTGATTTGCAGTAAGACGTTTGATAATGAGGGACTAGATTATCAACTGATGGCTCCTTTACAAAGATCAACAAGAAAGATCGGTATTGGACTACCAAAACGGAAGATATATACACAAATGGCGTCATGCGCTTAAGGATTTACGACAAGAAAAAAATTGTAATAAGATTTACATCTTGATTGGCTCGCGCTGCCAGGAAACTGGATTCGCACTGACTTCAAAAAAGGATTACGCATTCTCGCAAGGGACAAAATATCGCTCAAAGAGGAGGAGGAAAAATTATGAATGCCTATGCGGATTCGTAAAAAAAAATCAATTTAATGGAGAATGTAAAATTACATGGAAATTCATTACGAAGCCCAATGGTAAAAAGTCTATATTAAAACCGATTTCAACCAGAACGAATGCCAAATAGTTCGTCCGAAATTCGCAGAACTAGACGGAAGCTGAATTTGGTTAAGAATATACTTCTCGCGTTTTGCGCTTGCCCTAATATTATCAGCTCTAAGAATGGGGGAACGTGTACATATATACGAGTGTTACTTAAAAAAGCGACGTAAATAAATGAGCTTTGAATGCAATGTCTACTTTGAGTATAGCACAAAACGATTTTTGTGTTTCTTTGCAAGCTTATTGTTCATCTCGAAGAACATATCGAATAAGACTGACCCAAGGCTCTGTACTCAAATGGATACAAACAATTAAGGAGAACGTTGCGTTCGGGTGTTACCAATTGCAGAATACTCATTCACATCATCATACACATTTATCAGCAATTTAGATCGCATTGGTAGAGGAGGTTACCAGTAACTCAACTATATAAATTTGAAGTGTCCAAAATATAGCAGTATTTGAATAATCACTATGTCTTCAAATCCGATTTGCCACGCCCCTAGTGGGCGTCGACATAAAATTTTTGTATTTATCTTTATAGAATCATAACATAATCTCGCGTAAAAAATCATATACAGCTCACGTAAATAATTTCAACGTTCTAGCTTTAAAAAAGGTGGTCGACGCAGATCTACATTCCTTATTTCAGCTTTCTAGCTCTTCGACTAATACGATTTCTGGTATATCGGATAATGCATTATCCAATTTGCCACGCCCCTAGTGGGCGGACCGAGAAAATTTTAATACTTTAAAGGTCGGAGATATGCACGAGTATGTGTTCCAAGTTTGAAATCTCTAGCTTTAATAGTGCCGAAATAAGCTGCGTCCATACGGACAGACAGCAAGACGAACATTTCCCAAAACCAATATACTCATTTCACTTTCGTGAATGAGAGAATATAGAAAGCTAACCTGCTTCTATATCTCTAGATCATGCAAAAAGCTTAATCGTGTTTGGCTTAATTTGTGTGTACATTTTTTTTACGATTCAAATTCACTAAAATGTAACTTGTGAATTGAAATTTCATTTGCAAGAAGTCTTACACAGTGCGCAGGTAACATCACTAATCAATTTATCGATTTTTCTCTATAAAAAGAGATCGGATGGGTTATCGAAAAAAATATGATAGTGTAGCATGTCCAATATGTTGAATAAATACTGTAACAATTCATTGCAAGTATTAGCAATAAATATCAAAAGCACTGTTCTAGTGCATGTGTAATCTGAGTGTCCACCTGAATGGGGACACTAACAGTCTATGCGCAGTGTCAGCATGTTTGACCCAACAGCGCATTAAACATGCAACACTTTCTCTCTTCTTATTTGTAATAATATACCCTCAGCGCAAGAGCGCGGCTTAAGCTTAAACAAATATTGTTAAAGTTTAAGCCATTTTTCTGAATAAAGAATTCATTAAAGACTTAACCCTTCAACGGAGATGACGCTCCACCGGGTTTTCATTCGTTATATAATTAACTTGTATGGTATACACGAGAATACATGCAAAATTTGTCATATAACTTCTGAGATATCGGCGATAATACGGACGGACGGACGGACATGGCTATATTGACTCAGCTTCTCGCCCTGACTAAGAATATACATACTTTATGGGGGCTGCCACGCCTTCTTCTGCCTGTTACATACATTTTCACAAAACCATTATACATTGATTTCCCATTTTCAGTGTGTTTAGGGTATAACAAGTAAGAAAGCTCTAGTCGAGACTGCTCAACTACGAAATCGCCTAAACGCTTCGAAGAATTGATATTTCACAATAATTCTTCGAGTCTTTTTGCTACACTCACACACAGAAAAACATAGGGATGCAAGCATTAACATGCATTGGCAAGAGTGTGGGCTTACTATGGAAATTTAATTGTTTAATAACTTTTCTTGTTGATGAACTTGCTCATGAAACTTTCAGGTCGTTAATATAGCATTAAAGTGCGTGTATATGCAAAGCACAAGTCTCTAGAGAGGGTGAGGGGGTGGATATAGGGGTGAAGGATAAATTACAATAAAAATCGAAATTATATAAAATACATACATTTAAAATTTAGAAGCTCTACCTCCAAATGTGTAGGAGATATAATTAAATAACTAGTTTTCGAAAAGGTTTTTATTCGATAATAAAATATCGTGAGTAGTTATCGATATTTAGAGAAAAACTCGATATTCGCGTGATATACACAGACCTAAGAAAAAAATCAAATTCAAGTCTCTAGCTCTTTATCTTCTGAGATCGACGCGTTCATACATACAGACAGACGGAGAGACAGACGGACAGCGCTGAATCGACTCAGCTCGTCGCCCTGATCAAACTTTCTGTCTGTTACATACTTTTAACAAAGTCATTATACCCTGATTTCCCATTTTCAATGGGTTCTGGGTATAAAAATTAAGCAACTAGAGCGTTCTACTTGTAATGCAATGACTGCATTGAGTCTTCAAAATGCTTCGTCAGGTATATGCTATGCTATTGTTACCGGTTCGCTCAAGACGCCCACTCAGCATTTTACCGGCTTGCGTACAGGTAGCGGCAGCTTCATGTCTTCCTTCACTTTAACTTTCAGTTATTATAATTATTCTCAAAAAGATCAACACCAAGGATTGAACAAGGTATCAGTGCTCTAGCCGATAGTGCACTATACTTAGTTAATATCAGGAAAAGTCCTCCGCTCTGCTGTATGTTCCTGTTTTCTCCTCTTACACCCACATTTACGATTGTACTTAGCCTCTATTGATAGCTTTCGTTCTAACAGTACTATCACAATGCAATTAGAAGAGTATGCATATGAATTTAAAATATCTGTGTGAGCTAAAGCCCAAGACGCTAGTATGTCAAAGGAGTTCTGGTCTAATATATTGATTTCTTTGTGTGTCCGTCCAAGGCCAACATGCATTTCGCATTTTAAAACTGTTTCCGATATGCGTCTTGTATCTATATTTGGTATGGTAGTGCTATTAAAACTCAGCGCCCGTCGGTGAATGTCCTCCCCCGACATTCGGAAAGAGGTAGGCTGGTGACCTCTTTAGATTAACCATTATTTATTCATGCTGACTAGAGGACGTGCCAAAACCTTACGTTTCCGAGTGTTAGAAGGCAAGCTCAATTCAAAACTGTTGAGTCCTTAAACCATTGAATTATAGGGTCCGGTCATTTGGGGCGTGAAAATTGTGAAAATATTGATTTTTGAAAACAGTTTGGAGAAGTATTATATATACAAGCCAGGCATGGCTAGGTCAGTCTCCTAAGTGGAGGATTCCTATTAAAAATTTATGTGAGAGCAATGATTTGTTGTGCTACAATTATAGTCTCTCCAAGAGCGACGTCTTTTATTTAGAATTCTTACGTAGTATCTTAATCTAATCCATGGCGTCTCACATCGAGTAATCCAGAGAACATGGGGCATAAATGTTTTACTTAGATCCATATACTCGATAGGCGTCGGAAATAATCCCTCCAGGGTCTACGTCAACAGGAGGCCGTCAATGCCATGTTCATGCTGAAACAACTAGTTAAACTCAATTTAATGGTACTTTAAATAATCCTTAAATACCATATCCGACTATCGGATAATATAGATTATTATCGATAATAGGATATTCACTATAGAAAGATGCGAATGCCGTTAAGGGGATCGTAATATAAGAGAGAGATTGAGCCAAGGCAGAGCACTGAAAGTATATGCATGTGTATGAGGATTATGAGCCGAGTCGATTGATCTGCCCGTGCGCATTCCTATAAAAACAAGAAACTTTGTAATTGCAATATTTACATATAATATATTCCTATATACCATATACAGCACGAATTTACCGTTTTGTATATCGATAATAATCGATCGTTTACTTGTACTTACACGCCTCCCTTGAATGCCGGAAAAGCTACAGACTTCCAATTCACTGTATACATGGCTGTTATGTATACATAAATTTGAATTATTTTGGAGGTCACTCTTACTCTCTGAAACTTAATTAGAACTAGAACAAAAGTTCTTCAATAATTAATTACCCATAGTCAGCCCTTTAGTACTCTATAAAAGAGCCGTAGAATTATTAAAATAACAGCTCAGCGTGTCTTCTAGTCTAGTCTGTTTTAGCTCTGATTTGTTCGTGATATTATAAATATGTATGTATATATGTATATTAAGTACGTCAAATATTTTCAAGTATTTTGTTCGTATTATACATATACGGACAAACCCTTATTACTCTTATTTCATCACAGACCTCCCGCTAAGCAACTAAAGCCACAACATACATACATACATACATATGTACATATGTATTCATATAAATTCGAATTCTCTACTACCTACATGTACGCACACAGATACACATGCATAGATGTTTCTGGCTGCGTCGTAATTCTAAAGACAATGTGTTTCAATAAACTCCGCTCTGCACAGCTTTAAGGCGCGACAACGAGAAAAGAAACGCAAAAGAAACGAATTCAGGGGAAAAAATTGTATTGCGCATCGAAAATTGAAAACGATCTCTGCGAAGCGAACTAAAGGTTTTCTACCCTGAGAAAGCCATACACACATACACGCAAGCGCACGTAGATACAGTTATGCAAACGATCACAGATTGCGACAGAGCCAAACTATCTTAGCGGACGCCTGTAGGCAGCGACAGATGACAAAAACAAAAAGTGAGACATAAAGTAAAATCGAAACAAAAACTGCGGCGAATTCAGCTGTCAGCTGTTGTCAAGAGGAACAGCGTTGCCAGACGAGCATTATCATAAACAAAAGCCATGGGAAGCAATTGACATTTTTATAAATGAAAAAAAGTGGCAAAAAGCACATCATTCGTATTAGAGTACGGTTTGAACTATATTGAACGTATTACAAATTTTGTAATTAACTTCACTTGAAATTGTGTCGTAAATAGTTTCGTTCAACTAGGTGGCAGCACTGTGGTTTACGCCGGCTTTGCTTCATTTGTCAAACGCATTTACTTAATGAAGGAACAACGCAAGAAAAACTTTTGTCGTGTCGATTGCGGTTTTTTTTTTTTAATTTTATTTATTTAATTATTTTGTATATATTT